CCCTCCAGTTCATGTTTCCAGCTTGTATTCACACGATCACCGTTGCACCCTTATTCCAGTCCAATCCACACAGCCTTCTCCAGATATCTCCGCGATTCCATCCCACTGCCAGAGAAACGACGGCTCACGGGGTGAAGCGCCGCCAGCCCCACAACTTCTCCCGGTGGAACACCACATCCAACTGTCTCTTTACTTCCCTTTTATGTGCTCCAGTTGTCTGCAAATCCTCCACACCTGTTGCTGATTTCTCAATCTGCCGCCGCTGCCATGGCGACAGACTCCACCTCAATTTGTCACCTAGTGACAAAATTCCCCATAAAACATGGACACCCTGTGATTGTGTCAATCACAACTTGTCAAACCACACAACGATCCCATCTATTTTTACATGGACAAAATCAATAGAAAATATTTGTTCTTGTTCGAGAAGCCTTTAACTCGGATATGTCAAAATATCGCTGCTTCGTTTCACATACCGACTTTGGAATGTAGCTTTGTCCTTCTTGTTATGTTTGTGCCCCCCTCCCTTTCTTGTTTTATTTTTTTATTTTTTATTAGGTTTTTTCAGAGTAAACAGCATACATGGAACATTGGCATTGGCACAAATGACACACAAAAAAAAAGCAAAAAACAAAACAAGGGCAGCGTAGTCAAATACCGAGTTACCTCATATCCTCATATAAATCCTCATATAAGCATTTAAGGATACATGATAGACAATGCCAATACAGTTCAACGGCGTTTTCCACAACTTCTGAAATGATTCAGATTTACCTTTTATCATACATCCAATCTTCTCCACAAGTATAGTCTCTTTAATCAGGATTATCCAGTCCTTAATAAGGGGTGGGTCAGTGCCAACCCATTTATTCAGAATTGATTTCCGCCCCAACATTAGTAAGGTTCTAAAGACATCCGCATATTCCAGAAAGGAGGGGGGCAATATGCACCCAGCAAGCACATGAGTGGGGGAAGCCCTTTGAAACCCCCTCCCTTTCTTAATGATGTGTACAATGAACAGACTATGTACAATCATCATCCTACAAATCTATCAATGCTCATAAGACAGATGTAAGAAATGTTGTTTAATAAACAAGCTTCAGTGTCGCTCCGTTTGTTACAAGGACTGTTTATCAGTAAGTGACCCTGAAGCCTTATGTCCGCAGATCCACTTCTCAATGTCAAATTCCTTCTGTTATGTTTGAGCAATCTGTATTATTTGCCCTTCAGTATTGGAGAAAATGGCTATTCACTTGCACAAACACATCTCAATGAATAATTCACAAAAACAAACATCTTGCACCCAGGCTAAAACCCTTTCATTTTGCTATCAGTAAGGCCGGGAGATTCTTCCTTCGGCAGATGGAGAAAATCGAGTATTTGATTGTTCTCTAATCTCTGAGAATAAAAATGCAGTCTGAAATTGAAATATTGATCTTTTACATTGCAATCACCTCGTATATTACACCAGAGACAGTAGGCCATGTGTGAGCAAGAATATGAATATCTCTTCTGCGGGCCTTTTTTTTTTTTTTTTTTTTTTTAGTAAGTGAAATCATCCTACATGGTTTCCAGTTTACCAATGGTAATTAACATTTATTTTTCTCGTTTTTTGTTTTTGTTTTGTTTGGTTTTTTTGTTTTTTTTTACCATGTTGTTGAAGTAAAGATTATTAGTTGTGGACAGTAGCCTAAATAATTATGCAGGCAATCTATGAATTTAAAAAAAAAGATACTTAATCTTAAAACACTTAATCTATACTATACTAAATTATACTTAATTTAGTAAAGGCCTAGTATTAAAGGAGTAGTTCACTTTTAAAAACGAAAAAAAAAAAAACTTTTGCTGATTATTTACTCACCCCATGTCATCCAAGATATCCATGTCTTTGCAGTCGAAAATAAATTAATGTTTTTGATGAAAATGCAATCAATGCAAACTGTTCAAAGGACGATTCCAAGCGAAACGATCGCTCATTTAAAAAAACAAAAAAACAAAGTTTAAGTTTTATAAGCTAAAATAATCGCCTTGCTCTGTTCTGTGATGCGTGACTCTCCTATTCTAACTCGTTCATCAAAATGAACAAATCTTTTCCAGAGTCAACTCGTTTATTTAGTTCGTTGAATGAACCAAATGAAACGAAAAAAAGATTCGTTCATTTTGATAAACGAGTTCGAACAGGACAGTCATGAACGCGCATCACAGAACAGAGCAAGGCGACCATTTAAGCTTATAAAACTTGAACTTTGTTGTTTTTTTTTAAATGAGCGATCGTTTCGCTTGATAAGACCCTTATTCATCGTATGGAATCGTTTAAAGCCCTTTGAACAGTTTGCAGTAAAAACTATATATATATATATTTTTTTTTTTTTATATAATTTTATTCAGCATGTTGATGAAAAATAACAGTAAAGTCACTAAAAAAATGATCTGTATTAACAAAATTATTAAACGGCACAACATTTTAACATTTAAAAATGTCATACTTGAACATCGAATCAGCATATTAAGAATGATTTCTGAAGGATCATCATGTGACACTGAAGAGTAATGATGATGAAAATTTTTGTCATCACATGAACAAATAACATTTTTTGATATATTAAAATAGAAAAAAGTTAATGATAAAAAGTTAATAATAATAATTACAGTTATTTAAAATCTAATTTCACTATATTTTTCAACCCAAAAAGGCAGCCTTGCGGAGCCAAAGGAACTCAAAAAATCTCAAAGAACTTTTGCAACAGTGTAGTTCTACGTATATCAATTATTTTAACACAGTCATACATTTAAAGAAACATTCTTATTCTTCTATATGGTGGAAGTCAAAAGATTAGAACGTTGGTCCCTTTAAATGAAGAAAAACATCCTCTGGTCTCTTTCGATGTCAAGAGAAAAGTTGTTCTGGGTTCAATGACTTAATCACGATTTAATAATTTCCTTTCAAAACATCTCCTCCCTTTCCATCCTAATGTGCCCTAATATGGTTAATCTATTTAAACAAACATTTTTTCATGTCGTATTTAAGTGCTTTCTTCACAATGTCTATCTTTATTTGAAAGCTGTGGTGCATGAATTGATTATATAACTATATTCAAATCGCATTAAAAAATATCTGGGCTGCCTTTTTCATGAGTAACAAAATAAACTCATGTTTCAGTTTGGAGTATTATGGGTAAATTCTTCAATCAGTTCCTCTGACTATCTATAGTCATAGCCGTACCACCCTGAGAAAACAGCAGCCACGCTCAGTGCATCCTGGGAATAATATGACTTATCAGGCACATTTGTTTTTCTGGCTCGAGGGAATTGAAAAACAGCCCACAGCTTGGTAATTAGTTTAAAGAAAATAATAAATGCCATAAATTGGTTTGCTGTTGTACACAGTAAAAAAAAAGGTTTTAACAGAGTATGTTTTACAAGAATATGCAACTACTTCAAATTTTCATATTTAATTACCAGTTACTTGCCATTTCTTTATAAACTATTCTAGCCATTTCTGAGTGAAAATAGTTTCAAAGCCATTTTTTTTTCAGTGTTTCGGACCATGTTCGTCACACATTAAAGGAGTAGTTCACTTTTAAAAAAAACTTTTGCTGATAATTTACTCACCCCCATGTCATCCAAGATATCCATGTCTTTCTTTCTTCAGTCGAAAAGAAATGAAGGTTTTTGATGAAAACATTCCAGGATTTTTCTCCATATAATGCACTTCAGTGGGAACCAAACGGTTCAAGGTCCAAAAGACAGTTTCAGTGCAAACTGCAAACTTTTCAAAGGGCTTTAAACGATTTCAGACGATGAATAAGGGTCTTATCAAGCGAAAAGATCGCTCATTTAAAAAAAAAAAAGTTTAAGTTTTATAAGCTCAAATGGTCACCTTGCCCCCTTTCTATGATGCACGTTTGTGACTTTCCTGTTCAAACTCGTTTATCAAAATGAACGAATCTTTTTTCGTGTCACTTGGTTCATTCAACGAACGAAAAAAGATTCATTCATTTTGATAAACGAGTTCGAACAGGAGAGTCATGAACGCGAATCACAGAACAGAGCAAGGCGACCTTTAGAGCTTATAAAACTTGAACTTTGTTTTTTTTTTTTAAATGAGCGATCGTTTCGCTTGATAAGACCCTTATTCATCGTCTGGAATTGTTTAAAGCCCTTTGAAACTGTCTTTTGGACCTTGGACCATTTGGTTCCCATTGAAGTCCATTATATGGAGAAAAATCCTGGAATGTTTTCATCAAAAACCTTAATTTCTTTTCGACTGAAGAAAGAATGACATGGACATCTTGGATGACAGGGTGAGTAAATTATCAGCAAAAGTTTTTTTTTAAAGTGAACTACTCCTTTAAGTTTCGTTTTTATTTTTTTTATTTATTTTTTTTTAAGCCTACTTAGTCAGTGATCACACACCATCCTGTATGTAGTTTTCTCTACATAGGGACTCAAAACTTGTGTATAACTAAAATAACATCTTTTCCAGGATGCTGAAATTGACTGAATACTCAAATAAACGCAACAGTCCTGATATATTTCTCACAAAACAATGCCATTTCAGTATCCTAAACACACATGTTTATCTTCCGCCTCTATCTTTTGCTAGCTGTAGTTTTTAAACCGAACATTTCCCACGTTCCCAAATGGTCATCTCCCATTTTTAGAGTGCGATTCTAAATCGTTTTCAAATCTATTTATGGTCCCCACAGATTTATGGTCTTGGATGATATTCCTAAAGTATGCAAAAGAAAAATATTACAATTCCATGTTGTTTGGAAAAGGAAAAGGCTCCTTTTAGACTCATGAGATACAGGACACACACTTTAAATGACACTTGAGCTTGTGTCTGAAATGGCGGATCACAAACCGAATGTTAATGAGGACTTTGATATGTGTCAATAAAGGCACTAATGGGGTCTCATTTGCATGACCTGAATCAATAGGACTGTTTGATGGCTTTTGCTTCACGAGGAACGCTATTGACGACAAGGTGACACCGGTGACATGAGCATCGCATTGTTTATTTGTGTCGTCGGTTCTTTCTGGTGCATAAAACGGTGACAGACATCGATCTACACCTTTCAAGACATCATTTAGCATTCAAATGCCTATAGGAATGATGGCTCAAGGCTCGTCCTGACAACAGCAGCAGGGAACTTCTGTCCTGCGGGAAGTCTGTTTTCCTCTTTAAGCAACACTCAGACTAAATAAAGACTCGTATGTTGGGGGAAATGCCAAATATCCTCTGCGGTCTTAGTGTCTAGTTTTAGCCTATGCTAAAATGGTTAGTGAATCAAATCTCTGGAAATGCATGGGAACCGCAGGTTTCAACAAACCTGGGCAAAACATTCAGGGAGACGTTTCGAGACTTCTGAATGAATGGACATGGTGGTAATACTGTATTTCTCATTAGGAAAGATTCAAAATACAGAATAAACACATTCAGTAGCTTTTCCTTCTGACTGAAAGCCAATCAAATAGTTGACGCGAGGTCTTACAAAAGAAAACTAGCACAAACCGAAGAGCAGTATCAAGAAGCTAAACGCCTACAAAAGAGATAAAGAAGATGGACAAACAAGAGAAAAGCAAAACAATGTAACATTCCACACTCTTCAGAGTCTTTCAACAAGAACGAAACACGCCAGATTCATCTCTTTTCCTTCTCATTCCCTATTTTTTTACATCAGCCCATCATGAGGGCGTTAGACTGAAGGTCACTGTCCTAAGGGAAAATGTCACGGCTTCAAAACAAGTAACAGGACGTCAACCGTCTCCACAGAGCTTAAACGGGGAATTAAGCACAATATATGTATAAACAACAGCTGAGGAATCTGGAATGTTGTGAGGATGGGAATAAGAGTGGATGGAGCACTCGATTGGGTCAAATGTTCATTATGTAAAACCTTGAAGTCCTCTCTTCCCTGGAAACTGCATTCAGGAAGTTGATTGTTTTTTGTGTGGGGATGATCCATGATGTGGAGAACTTCCTCGGCCTCTCGTGGTAGTTCACCTCCTATTGGTACATTATTGGGTTTTTTGTGAATGTTCTGCTTTCTGTAATGAAGAGACATCAAGAGGACGGTTTGAGAGTACTAAACCACAGGTTTAACTTGGAAATCACAGCAGTCTGGAAAAAATATGGTACTTTCTATATTCTTCTTATAGAGACTAAAAGCACAAAAAGTGTTTGCCACCTGTTTCAATCTTATTTAAATATTTAATAGTGTTAAACTTCGCTTGTTAAACTTGAATAATTTTTTTGTTTAGTAAGGGCACATTACATTTATCAAAAGTGAAAGTAAAGACATTTCGGTAACGCTTCCTTTTACAGTCCAGTTACCTATGTAAATACTATGTAATTATTTTTGTAACTACAATTACTGGGTAATAACTAGTACTAACCCTGAACCTACCCCTGTTCCATGTACTTACCTTATATTAGCCAGTGCTTTCTAGGTAAGTACACTGTAAGTATACTGTAAGTACTGTACTGTAAAAGGAAGTGTTACCGACATTTCTAATGTTACAAAATTATTAAGCAGCACAACTATTTTCAACATTTATAATCAAAAATGTTTCCTGAGGACTAAATCAGCATAGTAGAATGATTTCTGAAGGATCATGTGACACTGAAGACAAAGATGAATTTGAATGAATTTGCCTTAACTGCCTTAATTATTTTAAATGAATAAAAATTTAAAAAAGAGCCAGTCTGAGTATTTCACAATCTGCTCAGTTATTGGAATTTTCTCGCACAACCATTTCTAGGGTTTACAAAGAATGGTGTGAAAAGGGAAAAACATCCAGTATGCGGCAGTCCTGTGGGCGAAAATGCCTTGTTGATGCTAGAGGTCAGAGGAGAATGGGCCGACTGATTCAAGCTGATAGAAGAGCAACTTTGACTGAAATAAACACTCGTTACAACCGAGGTATGCAGCAAAGCATTTGTGAAGCCACAACACGCACAACCTTGAGGCGGATGGGCTACAACAGCAGAAGACCCCACCGGGTACCACTCAACTCAACTACAAATAAGAAAAAGAGGCTACAATTTAAGAGCTCACCAACATTGGACAGTTGAAGACTGGAAAAATGTTGCCTGGTCTGATGAGTCTCAATTTCTGTTGAGACATTCAGATGGTAGAGTCAGAATTTGCCGTAAACAGAATGAGAACATGGATCCTTGTTACCACTGTGCAGGCTGGTGGTGGTGGTGTAATGGTGTGGGGAATGTTTTTTTGGCACACTTTAGGCCCCTTAGTGCCAATTGGGCATCGTTTAAATGCCACGGCCTACCTGAGCGTTGTTACTGACCATGTCCATCCCTTTATGGTTACCATGTAGCCACCCATCTGATAGCTACTTCCAGCAGGATAATGCACCATGTCACAAAGCTCGAATCATTTCAAATTGGTTTTTTGAACATGACAATGAGTTCACTGTACTAAAATGGCCAGATCTCAACCCAATAGAGCATCTTTGGGATGTGGGGAACGGGAGCTTCGTGCCCTGGATGTGTATCCCACAAATCTCCATCAACTGCAAGATGCTATTCTATCAATATGGGTCAACATTTCTAAAGAATGCTTTCAGCACCTTGTTGAATCAATGCCACTTAGTATTAAGGCAGTTCTGAAGGCAAAAGGGGGTCAAACACAGTAGTATGATGTTCCTAATAATCCTTTAGGTGAGTGTATACTATTTCAAATCCCCATTCACTCCAAAATAGACCGTTTTTGCACGTCATGTAAAAAGACATTAGACACAAAACGAGCACCTCTTCCAGTCCAGTGCTGTGCCAACGTGTAGCAGATTTTCTCGGCATTAGGGAGCCATTTTAATAAATTTAACAAGAGGTGTAATTCAAGTAATTTATCATGTAGCTTTAGCTGTCTCACAGAGGGGGAGAGAACGAGAACGGCCAGCTGCAGAAACAGATAAACGGGTGGAAGGGCGGCACTGGAATATTCATGCGGTGAGGCTTTGCTTACACAGGAAACTTGCAATTAGTCCCCAGTCTTTTGATTCATCTATGTGTTTATTTGCTAATGGTTTCGCTCTGAGACAGAGGGAGCCGATGATCTCATCTGTTTGGAGGACACGGGCGAGTGACACACGGTGTTGCTGAGAAAGACTGATGGGAAGGGGAAGTGAGGTCAAAACAACAAATCTGAATAAGTCACAGCTGAAACTGTGCACGTCCATATAGATACACACTTTATACGAGTTGATAACTATGTTTTTTTGTACTAGGAACAAAATATTAAGCAGTATCTTCAAAGTCAATACAGGGAATGATCATATTTCTCATTAAAGCAGCACTATGCAGTTTTTTTCCCTTAACTGAATAGCTTTTGAAGTTATTGCAATGGTTGTATGACTATTTTCGGGTTGAATGTTGTGCGTCTCGCCCCCCCTGTTGCCTGTGAGCGGAAAAAACACACTTGCCACTGAGCCAACGGGCCATCGGCCGCAGCATCAGGAAGTGTCGCGTAATATCAGGTCTCGCGATGTAACGAATTGCTTTACGGCAATAAAGAATGAATCTGAATTTGACATAGTTATAAACTAATTCTATTTCAAAGAATTGCTGTTCTTTTGAACTTTCCATTCAATAATCCTGAAAAATATTAAGCAGCGCAACTGTGTTCAACATTGATAACAAAAATAGTACCAAATCATACATAATCCTTGTTCTAAAAAATGTTGAACCCCAATTTTTTGTACTATATATGATTAAAATATGTCGTTCTGCAATAAGAAACACATTTGAAAAGGGGCCAGTTCCATTCAATACCTTGTAACAAGCAGTTGTCCTCTGGGCTTCTGCAGCGCTCCGTCTCCATGTCCAGACTGATTGGATCTGTGTTAACAGACAGCGACAGCTGACAAAGCCTGCTGAAAGACTATCGGCCTGAATGAAAGTCACTGAGCGTGTGTGAGTGTGTCTCACCGTGTGTGAGAGGGTCTGATGAGGTGGCCTGCTGTAAGGCCTGCTCGATTTGCCCTCTCCGCTTGGACTCAAATTCCAGCGCCTCCTGTAACCTCCTCTTTGCCTTCTTCTCCTTCTTCAGACGTCTCTGAATGGTGGCTAGATGAGAAAAGGAAACGTTCCATGTGTAAACATCCAATGGAACCGGATGATCTCTGGTTTTTCAATTTTCCAATACATGCACTGCAACGTAACACTCTACCCCGACTGCGTAACTCAGAGGTGAGCTGTCTCTCCAGACTCTCTCTCATCTCTCTCTCTCTGTACAGCTCCATCTTAAGCTCTCGCCTCTCCTGCTGAAGCTGTTTCTCCTGCAGACGGGCGTTCTCCAAAGCCACCTTTAGCAGACCCTGAAACACGTCCACATGTTATTGATGTTGAACATTGTGTGTGTGTGTGTGTGTGTGTGTGTTTCTTCATGGCTGTACCTGGACATTAGTGAGCAGCGTCTCCACGGAGGAGAGGCCGTCTGTGAAAAGGAGGGAAGCAGGGAAGCCCGTGGGAAACGTCTGAGCTGGGACCTTCTCAAATAATTTTGGCTTCACTGTATTCTGCTCAACTGAAAAAATAATAAACACAAAGAAAATAATTCAACTGATCGGCAGACTGATAAAGGAATAGTTTAGACATTAATTTAATAATGTCAGAATTTACTGTGGGTTGTTATAATTCACTACAACTGAACACATAAAATTATTTTCATTACTTGCAAAAATAAATAAAAAAATAAAATAAAAATCTAACTTTTACTTCAGCTAGCTACCGAGGCAAATGTAACTTGAATCAAACCTGAAATATAAAGGAATAAAAACTAGACATATTGAAATTAATAATAAAATTGACCAAAAATGTTTGGGGTCGGTAAGATTTTTAAAATTGTTTTTAATATCAAAAATGTTTTAAATGATTTCTCTTGTGCTCACCAAGGCTGCATATATTCAATTAAAAATACAGTAATATTCTAAAATATGATTTAAAATGTCATTTATTCCTGTGATGGCAAAGTATCATTACTCCTGTCTAAAGTGTCTATGCTTTTTAAATATTTTCCAGTACAGTAAGGCATGAGCATATTATTTTAATTGTTTTGAGATTACTTGTGTATAGAACCTAGAATATCCCATTACAACCAACAACATACCATTACATCACCCAACTAAATGCAATATAAAGGCTCTGTGTAATAATTGAACTATAATGAGAGCAGAGAAGGTCAGAGGCTTTTATGTAATGTTACATAAAATTTTGTTATTTTAAATGAAATATTGTTTATGTTGAGAAAATGCACCCTTGTTGTTGGAAAGTCTGTTCATATGCAGAGCTGAGTCTATCTCCCTTTGTTCATCATGAACGTCATATGCTGCAGAGAGAGACAGAAATACAAAAGGACAGTAGATAAATGAAACAAGAAGTTTCCGAGTAGCACAGACTATTACAAATACATATTGCTTCGTGCTGTTATTGTGTGTGCACCAGAATCGTTGCAAGGCTTGTTGATTAGTTTACAGTAACATCTTTTTTCTCTCAATGTAAATCATATAACGTTGTTTACTATGGACATTATACGCAAGATATTATGAAACAACAGTAATATCAAACTTCAAGATGAAGATGCTATCCACAATAACTGGGTCTCCATAAATCCACTAACATTCAGAAATGAATTTTTTATATTTTCTGGGGGGGATTATATATATATAAGTATATATATATAGTATGTGTGGTATATGCTAGGGTGTTGTTGATGGTTGCCAGCCCAGGGCACTGATATGCATTTGCTAAGCTGTCCTGAGTGGTTTTTATCATATTGCCATGCAGTTGCTACAGGATTCTTAGTGTTTTTATATTCATTTTTTTGTACATCTCTGTACAGTTACTAAGATCTTCTAAGTGGACTATAGGCCAGTGATAGGCTTATAAAATTAACGTTTCGCTGTGATTGCTTCTAATGCTACTGCCTGTATTGTCCTTTCAATGGTTTACTCATATGGCACAATAATGTCTTTAAGTTACACTATTATTTAAATGATTGTGTTTTTGAAAGAAGTCTCTAATTCTCACAAGGCTCCATTTATTTGATCAAAAATACAGTAAAAACTGTAATGTTGTGAAATAATATTACAATTTAAAAGAACTGTTTTCTATTTTAATATATTTTAAAATGTAATTTATTCCTGTGATGGCAAAGCTGAATGTTCAGCATCATTACTCCAGTCTTCACTGTCACATGATCCTTCAGAAATCATTCTAATATGTTCATTTGGTGACCAAGAAACATTTCTGATTATTTTTCAAAATCCTTTGTGGAATAGAAAGTTCAAACGAACAGCTTTCTTTGACATAGAAATCTTTTGCAACATCACAAATGTATTTACTCTCACGTTTGATAAATTGAACACATTTTTTGAAAGAAATATGCTTTTATTTATTGTGCATTTGAGGGATTTACTCAGCAAATACTGATGGATAGTTTGATCAATTATAATAAATAAAATTATTACTCAGCATATCATTAATTCATTTGCCAGCCATACGGAATAACTCACCTGTTTTTTGAGGAGAGTGTGTGTAAGGGTGTGTGGGGCTGCTGGGAAATGAACTGCTTAGTTGAGGTGAGGGCTCAGTTTTCTGAGGAACAATTCCCTCAACGGATGGAGTCAAAGAGGGACTCTCTTCAAAACACTCTTGCTGAAAAAATAAAATAAAAAAAGGTTATACACCCATAGAAATTCTCCCTACATGACAGCACATCTTCATCAACCAAGTTTGTCTGAAATCCATCAGAGAGTCAGATTGGCTTGAGGTTCATATCATCGTAAAGGTGTGATAAAATAAAACCTTTTTTTCCCAGATACAGCTTTGTGGTGAAGCTAGTTTAATAGTCAAGCTGTGTTTTAAAACACAACACAAGTTCTTAAAGCAGTTTGGACCCCTTTAGACCAAGCCGCAAATTGCTTTAAGTGACTCAAAATAAATAAACTCAAGCGAGAACGGTGTGAACAATCCCTGATGACCTTGCAGCAAAAGAGTATATGTTTGTGTGTGTGTTTGGTGTGTACAGCATGTCCTACCTTGATGGCAGATGTCGGCCTGGAGACGGGGCTGTGCACCTGGGCACTGGCAACCATGTTGGCAATTGTATTAAGGTGGTTCATCTGGTTCATTGCCATGGCAACAGAGGCGGGAGGAAGTCCAACAGGAAGCAGGGGATGGGGCATCATCATGAAGGGCAGGTCCAGTCCTATGCAAAGAAGAAAGAATCATGGAATAACTACATAAATTTAGGTCTGCTTATCACACAAATCTATTGAATGTCTTCAGATTAGACTTGGAATTTAATCATATGGACTACTTTTATTATGCTTTTAGGGCTGCACCAAATACCTTTTTAACATCGATATCACAATGTGCATATCTGCGATAGACACATCACAGGATGAGCGATGTCAAGTATCGGGATCGTAGTTGATCTGTACGGACCAGGTAGCACGGTTCGAAAAACTTGTGATTCTCGGATTAATTGCAAAGTTTATCCGTGATGGAGTGAAAGTTTATCATTTTTAGCTCCTATAAGTTTAAACATTCGAGCGAAAGAAGACGCGAAAGCACCTAATTCGGAGCACTGAACTCCATTCTCTTTCTCTTTCAACATCAAAATGCCCGTCTCGTCAAGTATTTTCGTAAAAACAGTTACTTATGGCTTATGTAAAAAAAAAAAAAAAAAACAATTGAGAAAGTAAACATATGCATATCATTATATTGGATCCGTGCATTCAGTCTTAAAGTGACAAAAGCCTAATATACTTGTCAGACTGTGCGAACATGCTCCTTGCTGTAGGCCATGTCACACTCTGGGATCTCAGTTGTCAGACCGTACGACAGTCAAGATGTGTTAAAGCGGTAGAATAATGCCCCAAATAAGCTATAATACCCATAATTAAACTACTAAACTATAGCTGTTCCATGTCTATACAGCACTTTGTCTCTGTAGGCATTATTGTCCGACTTGAAATGAACACCGTTACAGAGAGTTTCTGATATTATCATCATTCTGTGAGATGAAATTGTCCTGAGAGACTGAGCGCTAGCTCATGAAGCTCCGCCCCCTGTGCCGGCAGCAGCAGCTTATTTGCATTTAAAGGGGACACACTTAAACAGCGCGTTTTTCTGAGCCCCAAAAAATGACAATTTAAACATGCTGTAAAAAATGATCTGTTGGGTATTTTGAGCTGAAACTTCACATATACATTCTGGGGACATCAGAGACGTATTTTACAACTTGTGAAAAGGGGCATAATATGGGAAAAAAATTTAGCCTTTTATGTTCAAACAGGAGTCGGGCAAAGATGAAGAGACAACATGTAGACAGCAATTCTGAATAGTTAGTTGATGAATTTATATAGCTTATGTGTTGTTATCTTCTAGTCATTGACTGGAATATTATGTAATGATAAATTGCGTTCTTGGGGGCGGGGTTTATTTAAATTCTAGGGTTTGTGATGTCACTAACCCAGGAGGAATGTTGTGTAGTTCCTACCAGCCATTTGTTGTAGTCCTTATAAATCAATTTCTTTAAAAGAAATGATCTCTTTTTGCTTTTACCTTTGAGTGTTGTGACTGTAGATGTTGTTTATCCTCAATATTACACACTAACTAAAGTTAAAAAAGTGAAATCATAATGAACCACCCCTTTAAAAACAAACACACACAAATACGTTTTACATCATCAATCCGTGACGTGTTCAGTGACTGTGAGCTGCATTTACATGCGGGATATAAATGGTAAAAAAAAAACTAGCGTTAATTTTGATCATCTTTTCAAAAATAGCAAGTGAAGGTTTGTTGTTGCTCGCTAAATGCGTTATCAGGTTCTGCGCTCCTATTGGTTTTTCATTTGATGGTTGTGTAATGACAGGTGTTGACCTAGAGGTGTCAGTGTTCTAGCGGGGATCATAGAGGGCCGAAGAAGAGACATACGGGAAGTGTTGGGTTGTTGTTGTTAAGCCAACTTGTGAATAAACTGGACACAGAGAGAACTCACGCGTTGTCGTTGTCTTCTCAGTATTAAATGACTGTAAGGAATACCAACAGACATTACATGGTGTCAGAATAGCCTGTGTGTCAGTAAGAAGACATGGCGAAGTTTAGCCCGCCGAGCGAGTTTAAGTTTGAGAGCCCAACCGAATGGCCGGAGTGGAAACAGCGATTTCGCCGCTATCGGTTGGCCACGAAGCTAAACAAAGATGACGGCGAGATTCAAGTAAGTTCGCTGATCTACGCAATGGGCAGTGAAGCTGAAAAGATATTCAGTTCATTCGAGTTTGACGAGGAAGATGAAAAGAAAGACTTTGAAGTGGTCATGAAAAAGTTTGACGACTACTTTATTCCACGACGCAACATCATACACGAGCGTGCATGTTTCTATCAACGGAGCCAGCAATCCGGGGAAACGGCGGAGATGTACATCAGGACATTATATGAGTTAGCAGAGCACTGCCAATTCGGGACTACAAGGGATGAACATATAAGGGATCGTCTTGTGGTAGGAATAGCAGACAAAGAACTTTCCCGCCAGTTTCAGCTCAAAGCAGATCTAACGTTGACGCACGTGATTGAACGGGTGCGCCAGACAGAGGCGATAACGCGTCAGGTTAATCTTCAGACCAGTCGACCGGAAGCTCAGCTGGCCAACGTTAATGCGGTCAAAGGGAAGGATTGGCAATATAAGAAAAAGAGTCAGCGACGTGGGAATAGCAGCCAGGCAACCAACACAAAGGATGAGTGTGGGAGGTGCGGTAAGCCACAACACTCTAATGAAAGAAATTGTCCTGCGTTGAAAAGCAAGTGTAATAAATGTCACAAGGAAGGACATTGGGAACGTAAATGTCGTTCTAAAGCAGTGAGAGAAGTCACAAGCGAACAACCTGGACTAACATACTTCCTAGGAGCAGTTGACAGGGAGGATAATGAGAATACATGGACTGTTTGCTTACCTGTAAACAATGTGGGTGTAACCTTTAAAATTGACACAGGAGCGGACGCTACCATTATTGATGAGGGACATTCAAAAAGATGAGTCCTAAAATAAAGCTCGTGCCACCTGTCACTCGTTTTGTTAGCCCAGGGGGCGATCTCAGTTGCATGGGCATGTTCCAGAGTTTCACAAGCTATAAAGGGAGGAAGTACCCTCTGAAAGTGTATGTGACTGAAGGAAAAAGCTGCTTACTGGGCCGTGAGGAAGCAGTGGAAATGGGTCTAGTCAAGAGGATGAATGAGGTCAGTAGCGTGTTTGGATCTAGCGGGTTATTGAAAACTGAGCCAGTCAGAATAGCCCTGCTCGATGATGTCCAACCATACGCAGTGCCGACAGCCAGGCGGATACCCCTGCCACTGGTACCGCTGGTAAAAAAGGAACTGCATCGCATGGAGGAGGAGGGCATAATCGAAAAGGTAACACAGCCAACAGAATGGTGTGCCGCGATGGTGCCGGTACTCAAACCCAACAAAAGGGAAGTCCGCCTTTGTGCAGACCTCAGAAAACTGAACAAAGCAGTGAAACGGGAGAAGTATGTTCTGCCAACGGTGGAGGAAATAATGCCAAAGCTCGCCGGGTCAAAAGTATTCACCTCGCTGGATGCAGCAAGTGGATTTTATCAGATTCCCCTGCATGAGGAGAGCAGGTTGCTCACCACTTTCATCACTCCATTTGGGAGATACGCCTTCCGCCGTCTCCCTTTCGGGATAACAAGTGCTCCTGAAATTTTCCAGAGGAAAATGGCGGAGACTCTGGCCGGCTTAGAAGGGACTGAGATCTTTATGGATGACATTTTAATTCACGCAGAGACAGAGGAGCAACATGACCGACGCCTGGCTGAGGTGTTGAGGGTCATTGAAGCAGCAGGGCTCAAGTTGAACCAGGCAAAGTGCAAGTTCAGACAGAGGCAGGTTCGTTTCCTGGGTCACCTAATCGACGAGGCAGGCGTCAGAGCCGACCCCAACAAAGTCACAGGAATACGGAACTTTCCACAGCCACAAAACGTCACAGAACTCAAAAGGTTCTTGGGGATGGTTAATTATTTAGCCAAGTTCATTCCAGAGCTATCAACAGTGGCCCACCCACTGTACGAGTTACTGAAAGGAGACAAAGAGTGGATGTGGGGACCTGCACAGTGTGAGGCGTTCAGGAGCTTAAAGACTGCATTAGCCACAGCTCCAGTACTTACCTTCTACGATGCCAACAAGCCCACCATAGTGTCAGCAGATGCCAGCAGCTATGGGCTGGGCGGCGTTCTACTCCAGCAGCACGGGGATCACTGGAAGCCTGTGGCCTACTGCTCCAGACGGTTAAGTGACGCGGAGAAAAGATACGCGCAAATAGAGAAGGAGTGCTTAGCAAGTGTGTGGTCCTGTGAACGGTTTGACAAATACCTATATGGACTGGACGGCTTTAGACTGGTTACTGATCACAAGCCGTTGGTGCCTCTCATGAACAGTAAAGACTTAGACTGTGTCCCAATTAGGTGCCAGAGGCTATTGATGAGACTAATGCGTTTCAATGCCACGGCTGAACATGCACCAGGCAAAACATTAGCGGTGGCAGATGCGCTCTCTAGAAGCCCAGAGCAATGTTTGGGGGATGGGGTCTGTCACGAGGAGGTGGCCGCACATATCGAGGCTGTCATGAGCCAGGTCCCGGCCACACCACACCGGATGGCGGAGCTTAGACAGTACACAGAATATGATAGACAGCTCCAGACAGTCATAGGCTTCATCAGGAATGGGTGGCCTGATTATATAGGAAAGGTGCCTGAGGTAGTCAAAGACTTCTACCAAATGAGAGGAGAACTATCTGAGATAGATGGTTTGGTCATTAGAGGCAACCGCATTGTCATTCCCACAGAAAAAAGGAAGGCCATCCTGGAGAGAATCCATGACGGACATCAAGGCCTGGTAAAGTGCAGAGAAAGAGCTCACCAATCCGTATGGTGGCCTGGAATGTCTGGTGAGATCGAAAAAACTGTACAAGAGTGTGCGTTTTGTAGAGAGAACAGAAACACACAAAATAAGGAGCCGTTAATGCCCAGCGAACTCCCATCTAGGCCATGGCAGAAAGTTGGGGTAGATCTGTGCGAGTTTAAGAAGCAAAACTACTTAATAGTATCAGATTATTACTCTAGATATCTGGAGATTTTGAATCTGCCTACAACTACCACCAGCCAGGTTGTAGCTAAGCTGAAAGCCACATTCGCACGTTTTGGCATCCCTGAAGTAATGGTGAGCGACAATGGGCCCCAGCTATCTTCAGAAGAGATGAGGGAGTTTAGTGAGGAATATGATTTTGTTCACATTACATCCAGCCCTCACTACCCTCAAAGTAACGGACAGGCAGAGCGGGCCGTTCAGGTAGCGAAATCTATACTGAGACAGAAGGACCCCCTCCTGGCCCTGATGGCATACCGAGCCACACCCACCTCTTCGACAGGAGTCAGTCCAGCAGAACTGCTGATGGGCAGGAAAATCAGGACCACCTTGCCCACCTTGCAGGACAATCTGAAACCAAACTGGCCGAATGAAGAGGTGATCAGACAGGCTGACGCTGCAGCCAAGCAAAAGCAAGCTTATTACTATAACCGCAGGAATGGAGTAAGGGTTCTACCCCCACTGAGCCTAGGGGACCCGGTGCTAACAAAGTTGGATGGACAAAAACAGTGGACAATGCCTGCTGTCGTTCACAGTTCCAGCTCTACTCCAAGGTCCTATATCGTGGAGACAGCACAGGGACAGCGCTACAGGAGGAACCGACGACACCTGCAATCCACACCCAAACCGATCACAACGTCAGTGAAAGCCCTGACCAAGTTGCCCCTGAGGTCAGGAAAACTGAGGACACGCACGGTACTGAGACACAAAACACTTCCACACCCACACAAGGGACTGTAACCATTACTCGCTCAGGCAGAGTGAGCAAAGCCCCAGACAAACTGGACTGGTGATTATGGACTCTTGATTGTATAGACCTGAAAAAAAAAAAAAAAAAAAGGTCGATTTGTTGTGGATTTACAGTATGTTTCAGGAAATGCACTTTATTGTTTGGAAGAAAAAAAAAAGTGAAAAAAAAAATGGTTATGTTCATTAGCCTTCATTGGGGTTAGAAGTTAACAAGACAGTTGAGTCTTATAAGAAACATTGTTAATATACTGAAAGTGTTTATTGCTTATAATAACAGTTCATGTTAACTAAGAAGAGCAATATCTTTGAGGGGGGAGATGTAATGACAGGTGTTGACCTAGAGGTGTCAGTGTTCTAGCGGGGATCATAGAGGGCCGAAGAAGAGACATACGGGAAGTGTTGGGTTGTTGTTGTTAAGCCAACTTGTGAATAAACTGGACACAGAGAGAACTCACGCGTTGTCGTTGTCTTCTCAGTATTAAATGACTGTAAGGAATACCAACAGACATTACAGGTTGTCTTAGGAGAAGCCATTTTATCGCAATGGTCATTAATTGGCTGTGGGCGAACATGTCCAACTAGCGTTCTAGCGTAGCTACTTTTTGGAACAGGATCAGAGGAATCTTTTAGCATTCTCAAAATTAGTCTAAGACGGCCAAAATCATCCAGTTTGAACCCAGCTTCAAAAAACAAAAACAAAGATTCTCTAGCAAAGATTAATTATATGGGTTAACTATATTAGACAGGTTAAGAGGACAAATTCCAAGTATTGGTTACCAAGTCACTTTAAGCTTGAAAGCTTCACATTAATTGAACAGAGAAAAAGTCCTAGGTTTGGATCGGCATGATGAGGGTAGGAAATTACCCCTTTAAACACAGAGTGTGAAAGTGAATGGTTAATACTCACTGTTGGCCAGTAGATGGGTGTGTTGGAGAGAGTTGAGCTGAGAGTTGTTCAAGCTGTGCTGTGTTTTCTCTGAAGCAGGTGATGAATGTTTCTCTCTCTCCCAGGACAAAGCGCTACATCCTATTTAATTACAAAAGAGTATAAAATAGTCAAATCCACAAAATATATACACAGCAGATACTAGAATTTAGAAGGAGTTCTTATTAAACTCACAGTTTTATTAGAATTTATACTGACACCTACTGGTGTGGATGTAATGTCATTATAGAAATAGCCTATTCATTTTATATTTATAGCCTAATCGCACTTTGAAACCAAAAATAACTGCAAGATAGTTACTAATATTACTGGAATTTGTTAAAAGTACTATTCATCGCTTTAGGTGAAGTTTAAGTTCTCATATAACCATACGACACACACAAATGTGCTGAAACGAAATACATTAGATAATTAGTTTAAAAAAAGTCCCCAAAAAGTGATCAGAATACAATAAGATGTGCATATTACGTTATTTTTAGTGAATAAAGAAATAATACATAGTATGTTGCCCAGGGACCAGCAGTAACAATGAACTGAAATAATCTATCATCAGCATTCATGTCAGTGCCATGAGAGCAGATGGTGTTTAGGTGGCAGATTGTGGCAAAGGAATCAATGATAACGCAGGATGAAGTCGGTCCCCTTAAGACTTTCACATACTCCAGCCAATAAGGTCACACGACCGCTCAAAAATAACCTGATTAAAACAAAAAAACTCTCCCATTACACCACAACACAACACAACACTGCAGTTGCATTACAACACCACGACAGCTTCGCAACCTGGGCCCTTTCACCATGACATAAATACCGTACAATAGAGCGGCCATCTGCACGTCCGTGGAAATCAAGACTAGTGTCAACACGCGCTCGCATATCTTGTAGGACTGTTCTAACGTAAGTGAGAGGGTGCAAATTCACTGTAAACAGACATATGAAGATGGATGAGAGGAGGGGAAGCAGGAGCAATCAGACAAGAGCTGCAGCTGTGCTGCCAAACACTAAAACTAACACAAACATGCACACGTACACAAACATGCATACGGTATATTCTCTTGTGTCAAGTACTCAAATAGAAACAGCTTTCAGCTTTGGGTTGATGTCTAGAACAGCTTTGGTTTAGACTGACGTTTTGAATGGATTGGTGTAAGAAATATGATGGCAGATCTGTCTAGAAAAGGTTTCTTAATAAAAGACAATTTAAAGCCATTCCTGGCCTTATTGTGATTCATAAGTGCATGTTATTCATATAGATGGATTATTTTAACCTGGTGGATGATGAAACGGGCCACAAATCCCATAGATTTTCATTAAAAGAAGGTTGTGTGCCATGTTTGGAACCCACTTGGAGCACAATTTACTATTAAAGTTATTGCTGCAACATATGATGATACATGGTATCACTTCGCAGAAATGTCGCAACCTGAACGTTCTAACACTTAAAGGAGTAGTTCACTTTTAAAAAACACTTTTGCTGATAATTCACTCACCTCCATGTCATCCAAGATGTCCATCTCTTTCTTTCTTCAGTCGAAAAGAAATTAAGGTTTTTGATGAAAACATTCCAGGATTTTTCTTCATATAATGGACTTTAATGGGAACCAAACGGTTCAAGGTCCAAAAGACAGTTTCAGTGCAAACTGTTCAAAGGGCTATAAACGATTCCAGATGATGAATAAGGGTCTTATCAAGCGAAACGGTCACTCATTTAAAAAAAAAACAAAGTTTAAGTTTTATAAGCTCAAATGGTCACCTTGCTCTGTTCTGTGATGCATGTTTGTGACTCTCCTGTTCGAACTCGTTCATCAAAACTAACTAATCTTTTCCCGAGTCAGTTCGTTCGTTGAATCGTTTCGCTTGATAAGACCCTTATTCATCGTCTGGAATCATTTAAAGCCCTTTGAACAGTTTGCACTGAAACTGTCTTTTGGACCTTCAACCGTTTGGTTCCCATTAAAGTCCATTATATGGAGAAAAATCCTGGAATGTTTTCATCAAAAACCTTAATTTATTTTCAACTGAAGAAAGAAAGACATGGACATCTTGGATGACATGGGGGTGAGTAAATTTTCAGCAAAAGTTTTTTTTATTTATTTTTTATTTTATTTTCCCTTTATTGAGGGAAAAAGAGACTCAATGACAAGGTCAAAACAAGGTAAAACTTTCTCACAAAAAAATGGCTATTTCTCACTTTGGAGTTATTTTTATCCACTAATTAATTATAGTAATTAGTATCCTAGTAATTAATAAACACCAGATGGTCAGCTTGTCTAGACTGTTTGATCAAGTGAGAAATGCTTTTATAAGTCAACTAGAACAGATTCTCTACATGATTGCTGTCACCAAAACACACACACAAACATTGCCTGCACGAACTACTGATTTAAACAGCATCCTAAAAAAAAATGAGGGCAACTTCAAACGGACAAGATGAGAGAGAGAGAAAGGGTGGACGGGGTGAAAATCCAAAAATGCTGACCATATGCTTGCAGGGAAAGATGGGCAAACAGATAATGTGTGCGTACACTAGACACGACTTCCCTGCTAAGCGCACGCGGACGTAAAAAACAAGCACACATGCTAACGTACACCCGTATGTGCGCACATCTCACACCTGTTTTCTGTTTAACGCAGGCAATCACCCCGTATGACAGGTTTCGGCCATCTTGTTAAATAATGCATGGAATTTTTCTTTCAACTTGTCAACGCAGGGAAAAAAGTATCTCTCACTGTCTCTCTCTTCTCTTCTGATGTCATCCTTGATGCTGATTTTCCTTGACTGCATTCCATCTTTCTGATGAAGGCCATTTTTTTTTCTTCTCTCCT